TTGTGTAAATTCCTCTGCATTAATCTGTGAGTACCCCAAACTGATGGGAGCAAGGATTTGACACTCAAGACTAGAAGATGGACACTTAGTGCTTCAACCTGAAGCACTGTATTTTGTACTTGTGCCTGAAGTTTGATTACAAACCACTGCATCTAACATAAGTCATTATTCAAAAATACTCCAAATACAAATAAATCTGCAGTCTAGAACACTTGACACCTTAAACAGAAGTACCAGTACTCAAAAAGAGACTGAAAACTCTTCTATTAATCTATCAGAGAGAGATTTAAAAGTGCCAATGAGGGGCTAGGAAAACAAAGACTTGCTAGCATATCTCATTGCTTTTTTCAGCTCTTAAAACCAGCCCAGGGCCTGCAACATCTTGAAGAACATTAGCATTCTTTAAAGTATGTCTGGATGAGTTATCCCAGATGATGTGATGACTGCAGCATAAGACTGCTCCCAGCAGCTCTTTTACTACTGAGGAAGCAGATAGGAACTTGTGACACATAAAAATACAACAGCAGTTTTGTGTGATCAGAGGCTTCCTAATTGTTCATGAATCCTTCATTAATTAGTTATGGCAGTTTCAAGGCTACTTTAGCGAAAAGGAGCGACAAAGTATTTTAACATATTTGTATCTCTAAGTAATTCACACCCATTTATTACAGTACCCCAACATTTGGAAAGCCACTTCTATTGCCTGTTATCACCTCTACTTTTTCATGACTTTTAATTAGAAACTTACCACCTCAAAGATGTTTTTACCAGAACAAAACGCTAATTCAACTATTTAAGAGCAAGATAGAAACACTTATTTCTCATTGTGCCTGTTCAGCAGTGCAATATATTGCCACACATTTTTCTAAGGAAATTCCCCATTCTATGAGATCAGAACCCAAACTTGAATGAGTTAGATGAGAGATAATTAAGTTCAGCTTTGTAATTCCAAGTTCCCCTGCATATTTCTCTGACCTCAGATACTATGCCACTTCATTCACATCCCATGGACTACAGCTGCCTTTGGCTTCTTCATTGACCTCAATGACCTGTTTTACAATACAGCACTTCTTTTCAGCTTCTATTTAACTTCAGAAATACTACAGACAAACCTTAGTGATGCAAAGATGTCATCTAGCAGTAATGGAAACCTAGTGTGCAAAAATATCATGTGGTATAACTGTTGTTTTAAAAAGTATGTTGTACAACCTGCAGCCTTTAATCCTGGGAATAGAGGCCATGTTAAACTAAGCCTTTGGAACCACATAAACTTTTTCATATACCTGTTGCCTCATTTCAATTAGAATCCCTTACACTACTGAAGAAAAACCCATCATATTATTTCTTTAGCGATTTTGTTTCTCCATTGGCTAAATGAGAAAACTGAAAGGCACTGCAGATGTTTGTAGGTTTCAAAGAACCTGAAACTTTCAACCCTTCCTTTTCTTCCCTCACACAGTAAAGGACTATTTCTGTTGACTTTTAGCATATGTTAGTTCACCATTTTAGTTGACCTCTTAGACTTTTTGCAAGCCTTCTCATAAGAAACAGGCAGTCAGAAAAGAAAAAAAAAGCTCTTTGTTATGTGTAACTTTTTAACAGCTATAGTACTGGAATGAAATTAATCAACAAAACCCCGAAAAATTACTTGGCCTGGTGTAAATTGAATTTCCCTTCTTTCAAGCAGCAACTGCTTGTCTATTTCTTATAGGACTACATAAAAAACACCACTGAAGTACCCTAGGTTTTTGTAAACCAGTTACAAAATGAAAATCTTATATTGATTTGTAGCCAAAAAAAAAAAAAAAAAAAAAAAAGGATAGAACCTGTCAGTTCTAAGCTTTATGCATAGACATGTAGAAAAATAATTGTTTTGATATTCTTTTGGTCACAGAACGCTGAGCTCCGCCCTGACAGCCACCAGTTCATGGTGCGCTATTGCTTTCAAATATTTTGATAGCCTTTTTCCCGCGCTGCTTCTTACTGGGCGGCGTGCTCATAACGGATGGGATACTCTTGGTCGGAGGGTGACAGAGTACAAGTTGAGGAGGATTCTCTCATAGCACATGAATAGCATGAACAGCACTGTATGCAAGTGGGACAGGAAGAGAAACCAAAGCAATTCACACATGCTCATGGCAACCCAATGCAAAGCCTTCCCCTTTTTAACAAGTATCAAACGCTTGAAAGTTGAGTAAGTTCAGCCAGCTACATCTCCTAAGTATGGAGACTGTGGAGATAGAGAGAAGTGAAGTTAAATGCAGGACCCATAAAAACTGATTCAGTCAAAAAATAACTGTTCACCTGAAACTCCAATAAATCTGCAAGCAGGCAGAACCCATCAGCAAGACAACAGTGGTTCAGAGTTACTTCAGGGTGACTTCTACAAAGATAATGCTTTGCAGGAGAAAACAGGATTTAGGCACATACTTCCACCCTCCCATCCCTGCGCCTATTACAATCACCCACTGCCCTGAAAGCTACACCAGCTCTTCTCCGCAGAGCAGGCTCAGACCGAAACTCTCATGGGGCTTTTGACTCGGAGGCTGAAAGGTGCGAAACGGCTGCAGGAACGACATCTGTCACACCTAACTTCCCCAAATCAAGTTTTGGTGCCTGTTATCTCTCTTGATGCCGCCGCTACAGTGCTTGGGCAATAGCGCTGATCTGGCCCTTTGGCGAGAAGCAGAGCGCTCTGCAGTTCAAGCCGGAAGGGCCCAGCACCCCCCGCAAGGCAGCGGAGCGGAGCCGCGGTGCGCGCACAGCGGAGGGCACCGACCGTCCGGCCCCGGCCACCGCCCACGTCCCGCCGCGACTCACCCAGCTGGAGCTGCTCGCACCCTCCGCTGGAGTTCCCCCCGATCCGGCACCGGAATATGTCCCCGGGGTTGACCACCGACTCGTTGGCGGGCCAGCTGGCCCGGGGCGCGCCCGCCACCAGCCTGCGGGGCAGAGACGGCAGCGTGAGGAGCCGTGGCCTGGACAAGGCGCGACGGGCCCCCGCGGGGGCGGCCGGGCCGGGGACTCACCATCGCTCCTCGCCGTGGCGGTGCAGGAGAACCGAGTACCCGAAGAAGGTCCCGTTGCTCCCGCGGAAGAGCAGCGCGTGCTGCGTGTCCAGGTTGTAGGGCCGAGCCGTCGGCAGCCACTGCCACAGCAGGAGCAGCGGGGCGGCCCAGCCCGCGGCGCCCCGCGCCCTCCCGCAGCTCCGCATGGCTCCGGCCGGCCGGCAGCGCACCGACGCCGGCTTCCCGCCTCTCCGCTCAGCGAGAGGGCAGGGCAGCGCCGCGCCCCGCCCTGCCCCGCCCTGGGCGCCCTCCCCGCAGCCCGGGCTGGGGGTGTCCCCGCGGACGGGGCAGTCGCACGGCCACGCCGCCGCCTCCTCCGCGCGGTCGCAGCCCCTCTCCCTGGCCAGGCGGCGGGGGTCGGGTTTCTCTCCGCCCCGTCCGCGCCCACGGGGACGCTGCGGAAGGGATATGGCCCCATTGTCCCCGGGCAGTGCCCCCGTGGGACGCGGCTATCCAGGCACCGGCGGAGCAGAGTGCCGCGTCCCCACCTCTTCGCCTCGACATCCTTGCCCGGCCGGGCCCGCAAAAGGGGAAGGAGATACTGGAAACTTATCCTAAAATCTCCCGCCGAGCAGCGGGCGGGCAGCTCAAGAGCAGGACCGTGTTCTGAGAAAGGAAGTGTGGAGAAGATTTGAGTTTTCTTTTTAGATTTAAGAAGAAACCCAGTACCCCTGTGTTGAAAGCCTTCCCCACAGTTGCTGTGCTGAGGGAGCCTTGCCTGCTGTCCCCCGGTGGGGGGGTATTTGGTTCCTGAAACCAGTGCCGCACAAGCGGGGCACAGCGAGTCTGGCCTACCCACGTTCACGAGACTGCTGATGGCGCCTTCCTTTCACGTGTCATGTAGTCAAAACAATCCCCCATCACTTCTTTTACATTTTAGAGTAACTTTTTTGCATTCCTGTTCAGTTCTTCAGTTGCTGACAAAGTTAGCAGCCATGCCTCCAGACAGCAAAGGAACAAAGGAAACTGAGCATTGTGCAAGAGATCTGGTATTTGGCAGACTTTGTAAGGGCTCCCTTGATCTTAGTGAGGAGCATTTCTGTGTGTGTTTTCAGCAATCAGTTGCTGACTCTTGATTTAGCTCATACTGAGTTGTGTTCATCCTGAAATCAAGGCTTTTATTTCTATCTGCAAACCTTGCCTTACTGAAGTCCTTTGAATACCAGGGTTTCCCTGTTGCTATAATAATCCCTGTATATGGATAACCTATGTATAACAGTATTTTGAATCTGAGAAACAAGAACAGAAGTACTTCTAAAAGAAAATTTTAGTTACAAAGATTACCTACTGAATCTGGAATAAAATCCAGTATGATTACAACTATTAAATATTATACACATTAGAAATAACAGTGAGATTTCCCTAATGTAAAGTTAGAGCATGACATTTTAAGCGTCTTGGGAAAACACCCCCCTTTCATTTCTACTAAGTTAGTGGAAATGTGGAAAGTTTCATGTTTCTGCAAAATGCTGAGCAACTTCCAGAGTGGGGCACTGAGGCAATGCAGAGTGAAACATCTTGTCATCCTGACCACATGCAGATGTGTAGTTTCTGGAATGAGATCAGCACAGTGGAAGATCTGACAGCCAGTCAGCAGTGTATCTTTTTTTGATTCCTCATCTCTAGAGCCATCAGAAGAGGGCTTCTCTGGATGAACAGCAGTGGCTGTTTCGTGCAAAGGAGTCAAACAGCTCCTCAGCTGCTATTCATCTTCCTTCCAATTACTTACATCAAAGGAGTTAAAACAATCAACAGCAGCTGTGAATCTGCATTTCTACTACTCAAGAAGTTTTCACGCTCATTTTCAAAGCAGCAAAACAAGCATGAATCAAAACTGAAATGCTAAATTGTGGCTTAGTTGGTGAAAAATTGTAACATGGTTGTACCACCGTGATGCAGGAACCATGTTGAGATAGCGGCTGTGCTCCTAGCTGACAGGAAAAGGTAGATTGTAAAGTGGTGGGATTCAGTTATTGATGCATACATAGCTGCTTATCAGCTATGATATGAAATTGAGAGCTCTGCATCACCTGTCAGGAGGAAATGTGTGTGTCGTCTCCTAGACTGCTAGAGTGCATGTGATCATGATCCATCAGGCATCAATGAAAGCAGTGGAATATAAATTACTGGAGAGTTAGAAATCCATATTTTGAGAAATATTTGCAGGTTTCAGTATCATTCAGGTACTAGAAAGAGATCAGAATAAATGCAACTGACAATATGGAGTAATGGAGAGAGAACTTGAGTTTCATTAGAGATTTAGAGAATTTGCAGAAAAGGTGGAACCAACACTGGAAGCCAAGTACCTGTATTTACAAATCAAATATCAGTTATGTATCAGTTTATATCTAAGTTATCCTGAAATAATAAAAAAAGTTCTCCCCAAAACATCTTGCTGCTATTCATTCTCAACAGCCCATCTCTCACAGTTCTTTGTGGGTTAATAACACTAGAAGGAAAATATCACAGTGGCTTGCCTCTTGTGCTTGAATTTGGTTCACCATCTAAGGCAATTTCAGTGGAGCCAGTGGGATGATTTGTTAATTATATTAGTCTGCAGTTTGGCAACATTTTTTACAGCGGATGTGTGCATTTCATCTGACTGTCCTCATCTCTTGCTGCTTGTTCTTGAATCATACAGTGACCCTGTTACACTGATACTGTTCAGTGTCTGAGCAGTGAAACACATCAGAGAAATGATCTGGGTTAAAAATAACTCAGACAAAAACCCCCAAACCTACATCACATTTGTAGCTGGCCAGTTGTATTGGTTGTATTTATAGGATGGTTTAAACTGATGCTGCAGCTTTGGGAGCTTTTTCAGGTAACAGCCTTAGCTTTCTAGAAGTAGCAAGTATATGAAGTTAAAACCTACACATCTAACTTAAAATGAAGCAATTTCTTTCCTTTCTTTTCACCAGTGCTGGTGAGAGGAAGGGTGAGAAAATTACTGAATGAAGAACATACTGATTCTGAATGTCTGTCATCTTTCTTCTTTGGAACATATACTTTTTGATTCCCTAAGTTCGAAGGCATTTGTATTAAATTAAGTCCTGTGTATGGGCTGGTGTTGGGTAACTGATCACATGACAGCTTTTGCTGTGTTATAAATACATGAAAGCCCATGTTGCTAAAAATCTTCATGGATATGGCTGCTTTCAGCTGTGTCTGTCCTGGTCTCCTGTGTGCCATGTAAGCCTACTGCTGCTTATGGAAGAGTGTCTCTAAATCTACTCTGAATTAGAAATAAAAATAATCAGTGGTTGAGATCCTGTTCCTAATTAGAAAGACATGAAAGTTTATTTTTTAAATTGTCTAAGTACTTAAATAGTGCTATTTCAAATTTGAAGTTTCTAAACCTTTCTGATTTACTGAAACATGGAAAATCTAGGGTTTTGGTCAGACCATAAGTACATCTTCTTTTTATGTAAGTTTCTCCTCCACCATCCCCCAACAATGGCAGTGGGCCACAGAATCTACTATTCATATGCTGTCATCTGAGAAATTATAGAAGGCAAATACACTCTTACCTCTAAGGCTGTCTTCAAGAAACTTCATCTTCCCTCTGCTGTAAGATACATGTGAGCTCTCATGAAGAGGTTGCATTGTCCACTGACAGATATAATTAAGCACAGATGTCTGAGGCACCAAAAAGAAGCAAATATTAGCAAGGGTCTTAATTGTATAATTTTGTTTATATTCTCTTTAGAGATCTGAATTTAATTTAGAATCAGTTAAAGAGAAACAATCTTTTAATTTAATCAGCTTATAATATATTTACAATCATATGATGTTCTTTTAGGAAATACTTTAAAAAAGGTTTTTCTTCCCTTGAAAAATTGTGCTGCTGAAGTAAAGACTGATCTGCCAAAAGAGCTTTCCAGTATTTAAACACATAATAGTGTCATACAGACAATGACTATGGCAACCTGACTAGAAGAAGCAAGCAAAAGATAATTATAGTTAATAACAGCTTAACTAATGACTGCATTTTGATTTACAGATAGGTAGGACTGGAAATTAATCATTGTATGTATATGTGTGACTGATGCATTGCATATCCTTTTTTATTTCTTAAAATTTTGTCAAAGATTCTTGAGTTGCAAGATCAGGCACAACAAAATAACTGGTTCTGAGTGGAATTGGGCAGTAACCTCTTTTCCCATCCCAAAGGAATTGCTGAACTTTTGAAACTTTCCCATCTGAAATTCAAACAAAGAGTGTTTTCATTCACCATTTCTGTGTCTTTCTTTGTAAAAGTCTGGTTCAGCACAGTTGTAGCATTTTTTTCATTTTCACTTTTAAAAACAAATATTTTAGTTAGATCTAATTTCTTTGACATAAAAAGGAAATATGTATATTCAAAAATTTCAACATAAAAAGTAATTTTTTTTCAAAATTAATAATTTATTTAAATCAACACTTTCCCATAATTAATTTTCCATAATGAATCAACATTTCAACACATTCATATCTACACTGAAAATATTCAGACCACTTATTGATATTGTGTTTCTATTTTTTTTTCATATTTCTATTCTTCCATATGTTCCACATGTTTGTTGATGAGATTGGATGTAATGGGAATGGAACAGAATCTGAAAAAACTTTGCGTAGATTTATTTCTTAGCTGCAAAGCAATTTTAAATTAGACATTTGTCTGTTACATCTGCTAAGCAAGATAAACTGGGGCATAAAGTAAAAGCACAAGCTTGGTTATTTAACAAGTAGATATAAGTTTTGGTGAAAAGAAGGATCAGTTCTGTACTCAGGTATGAATTTATGGAGCACTTACCATTAATGTTAGTTTCAATTTGCTAGTTTCAATTCGTTAGTTTCAATCAGTGTTTAAGTATGTGCATGTATCAATACAATGAGAGTGTTATGTTATAGAGGACTACCTTAATTATTTTTATTTTACAAAAGTTTCCGTATAAGAACACTTAAATGAATATTTTGAGAGGAATGTAAGGTTCGTTGTTGTCTCTCTCAATTATTTTTACGTTTTTTAAAATAATTTTTAACAAAAAATATGCATGGTCAATGATTGGTTCAAGTTGGGCAATTAAGAGTTTAGAAACTGAGTCAAATGATGCTGAGGCTGAAAGCCTTTGTCTCCATAGAAAAACTAAGCACTATGAAAACAGCCCTCACATTAGAAAGGTTGGATGTGTGTGGACCATGTTCTTCCAGCGGTGAAAACAGCTAATATTTCAGATAGGAAAAATACCCCACAAGACCTCCTTATTTCTTGAAAATAATCCACCAAAAACTCAAACTGAAACAGTTGTTGGAAGAGAACTGTTGAAAGGAAACATCTGGAGGAAATGCCATTCCAATTTCAGTCTTGTCTTCAGTATACCATAACATACATTTTTCAAGATGTGATACTGTGCTTCATCAGACAACATCACAATGAGATCATACCTCTGAATATGGACTCCAGGTCACCTTTATGAAGGATGGTAATCATTATGTCTGATTCTGCTTCCTGAGAGAGTATATTAAAAATATTTCTCATCAATTGGTCTTCTCTTTGATGCTAGCTTGAAGTCCTGTATATGATCCAGTACAGCAATATGATAAGAAGGAATTATGGTAGAAAGCAGTAAAAACTGGGTGATTTTTTATAGCCATATAAATAACATGACACTTTTGGCATTCTTCAGAAGAGATGAAAATAAAAGATTTTTCTAGATTGTTATGTTTCTTATGTATGTATATTAATATTTTTCTTGTACTCCTTTCATGAATACTCTTAGTATGAGTTCAAAACCCATCCATTCCCCATACTGTGTCTTCATGAATTTATTAACCTCTTTAAAAATTAGGGAAAACAAAAATTTTCTGGCAAGCTATCAGAGCTCTAGTTGTTAAAATGTCAACTTCAAATGCCCTTAGTACTGGCATTACATTTGTAAGTAGTCATTTTACAGCTGTGTATCTGTGATTTTATAGTTATCAGGTCCAATACAAGTTTAGACTCTGGCAATTTAAACATTAAGAATTTTTGTTGGCTTGTAGGAATAAGAATTAATCTGTATCATTGTCTTGAAATTTGAAAGAGAACTTTTTTTCAAGTTGGATTGAAACACTTGGATTAAAGGAAAATGTAGTAGTATTTAGACTAGGCAGACAACAAAGTATGTAGAGGATATACTACTAAGAGTTCATCCACTTACAGGTAACCTTAGCTGTTCCTGTTAATTTGCCAAAGTAGTCTGTGTCTATTTGCCGGTTTCTTTGGCTTTTTTTTTTTTTTTTATAATGGGCACTATAAACCATGTTACATGTTGTTGCTAGAAAACTTGTAATGAAATAAACCAATGAGATACTGTTCTACTTCACAAAGTTTCTCTGAGTTGTCCTTGCTCTGTTTTAGAGTACTGCATGTAGCAGCTTTAATATTTTCTTTTTTAAGTTTGATTTTCACATGTCCTAATTCTCAGTTTATTTCTGAAATGTTTTAATTGTAGCTGGATGTATTTGAAATGTATGTGGCCTTTTGTGCACTTGTAAAATCTATAGACTTATTGCCCAGTATACATGCATAAACCATGTATATTAGTATTTTAATTTCATATTGTATGGGCTATGTCTTCTGTTGCAAAATGGACCTGAGAATTCATAGCGTACTCATGCTTTTCCTTTCAATTATTCTAAAAATTTGCACATTTTAGATACATTTGGATCAGGTCTGAAAAACTTTTTTTAATTAAGTGCTTATTATAACTGAGCAGGTGCACCACAGTATATCTGGTCTGAGAAGAGAATACCCTGAGTGCATTTTTTCTTCAAAGAATATTGATATTCAGCTTTTGTGGCTAAAATACACCACTCCCAAAACAATTGTGTGTTACGGCAACACAATAAATAAGATACCTTAACTAACTTCAGCACAGGAGTCTTCCCATAAAAACAACATATTACAATTCAAAGATGCCATTGTTTTCCTAAGGAAGGAATAAGATCTATAATTTTCTTTCCTTTTAATGAAACAGAAGTACTTCCAAAAGTCAAGGAAAGGCCATGTGTGTGTCTTGCACATAAGTGGTAGTTTGTATCCAACTTCGCTTGCTGGTCTGTGTCTTTGTGGGGAGATCTGTACAGACACGTGGAGCAGTTACTCTCTGCATGCACATTTATAAAGGAGCGGGAAGCGCGGTGAAACCGGCTGGTTAATAACTCCAGTGAGACAATCACTCATGTCCTGGAGGACCATGCAGCTGTGTGCTCAGCTGTAGCATGGCTTGCAATTTTAGCGAACTGCAAGTTCAGCTCATACATGAACTCAATGTTAGAGACTCAGTGACTGAAGTTGTACCAGTTTCCAGCTCTATCTGGGAGCTGGATTTAATGTAAATATACCTTGAATTTGTGTATTTGTTTTCCCTCAGCTGCTGCGCTGGGCACCTCAGGGTTTGGCCATGTCCGCCACATGTTCCCTGTGTTCTCCCCAATCTTGTCCCGACCGAAGAGGCTCAGGTGAATCCATGACGCCTGGCAGGGAAGGTGTTGTGCCTGGAGCCTTGAGGGGCTGCTGGCAGGTTACTTGGGGTGTCCCTGGCAGGCCATGGGCACCAGGGCAGCTGCAGGTGCCCTGAGGGAGAGGCTGGCGGGCACCCTGCGGTGCACGCAGCCAGTTCCAGCCGGCTCCGGCCGGTTCCAGCCGGTTCCGGCCGGCTCCCTCAGTAGTTCCTGAGGGCTGTGCCGGGCAGCCATGCTCAGGACACCGCTGGCAGTCCCTGACAAAGGACAAAGTGCTGCTCAGTTGCTGAGGGGTGGCAGGAAAAGAGTGAGGGACAACCCTGCAAGCACCAGGGGTAGGGCAGGAGTGGAAAGGCGCCACAGACGCCAGAGCAGAGACTCCTGCAGCCTGCAAAGACGAGACGCCATGAAAGGTACCCAGGCTCCTCTGGGACCTCATCCTGGTCCTGTGGATATGGCCTGGAGGAGCTACTGCCTTTGGAGAGCCCATTGTGTAGCAAGCTTTCCTGAAAGGAGTGTGGGCCTGGAGAGCTCACACTGGTGCAGAGCTTTCCTAACAAGACCTGTGGGCATGGATGGTCCGTGCTGGAGCTGGTTCCCCTGACAGGAGCCATGGCCCCACAGAGCACACACTGTAGCAAGTGACAGGAATTGCACCCAGCCTGGAGCAGGTTCTCCTGACAGCCACCGTGGCCCTGAGGAGGCTACACTGAAGCAGCTTCTCCTGATAAGAACTGAGACCCGTGGAGAGGAACTTCAGCCCAGGGACAGGAACCTGCAGCCTGTAGACAGGATGAACACTGGAGCTGGGAAAAAAAATGTGAGAAGGAGGGAGAGGCAGGAAGGGACTGTCATGTACTCATAGTAACCTCACACTCCCCATCCCCTCTGCACCTCTTGGACATGGCTGGGGGACATAGGGGACCTGAGAATGAAAGAGTGAAATTGAGTGGGTGACAAAAGTGTTGGTGTTGGGGAAGGTGGTGTTTTAATTTGCCTCCAAATCTATTTTAACTGGCATGAAATTATTTTCCCATGACTTGATCAATCTTTTCCCGATGCCAGTGACTTGTAGGTGATTTCCCTGGCTTTACCTTGACCCAAAAGCTTTTTCATGATACTTTCTGCTCTTATCCTCTTTGAGTGGGACAGTGAGAGGGAAGCTAAGTGGCTCTCTGGCAGCCAAAGTCAACCCAAAACAAAATTCCAGGCCTTTTCCAATTCCACAATATTGCTTTCAGTCTAAGTAGACTGGAGCCATAAATTTTGAGGTATAACCAATATTCAGGACAGTTTTCAAGGTATATTTAAATTAATTTATGTCATATCACAACTATATTCTCTATTTAACTCTCTTACATAAAACATGATTTAGTGCTTTTTTTAAAAAAATTTTTTTTTTGCAGTGTTCCATGAGAGTCATGATAAACGAAGACATAATCAAGATCTAGTGCCTGCAGAAGAAACAAGCTAATTCTTCATAACTAAACAGTAAGAAACCACATATTTTTGATTTTTACAGGCTTTAAAGTGATGTTAAGTTTCTCATACGAGGTATAAGCAAAGGTTCCAGCTCTTGGTTATACAAATATCTCACTGAGATTTACAGCTGTTACAAGTGATCTCACCTCTGGTAGCCCTTTCCTACTACATCTTACCCATGACAATCCTTCCTGAGACTGTACAGAGGGTTGCAGAATTTAAAAACAATTGAGGATCTTGTCCTCTATATGTGAATTTTATCAGTTTGAGATAAGGTGAGTGGAGAATCTACAGCACTGTATTTATGACATAATGCTTAGAGATACGCAATTGCACCATAATTTCAAGAATAAAAGGTTTTCTTCTTTTAGGCAGAGTACAGTTTTCTTTTTATGGTCATGATTTTAGAGCAAGTAGAAAGATTACTTATAAAACCCCACACCTATATTTAAACATCATTATAAATCCTATGTGATAGCACTTTTATTTTTATATGAAAAATTAGGTTGGTATTAACCTACATTGGAGAGCCCATTTCCACATAAAAAAACAGCAAAAATAATTTAGTTTTCTTCTTTCTTGTGACATATCTGGATCACTGTTCTCTCTTTATTCTTGCAGTCAGGATTATTTCACGTACAAAACTGACCATAAATGAGCATACAGTTTGCACCACAGACATGCCTGTGGGGTAATAAGACATAATATCTGTTTTGAAAAATGAGTGTTACTGATCTCAAAAAAAAATTCTGCATACTGAGATCACAGAAGGCAGTTTGGAGAAAAGTATACCTGAATTTAAGTGTCATCACAGACAGATAAAAATAAGATGTTGAATATGTATTTTGTGTAGCTAAGACAAAATTGTGTGTTTCACAGAGAAACATTCAGATCTAGAGCTACCACAGGCTGAACATCTTCAGCAATGGGCCGTGTCTCTGTGACCTTCAGTAGCTGTTACAGCTGTTTGGCATTTCACTTAATGAAGCAGAGATTTTTCCCTACTATTCACTATTCAAGCTTAGACTGGGTTTGAAATTCTAACTCTTTTAATAGCTAATGGAGTTTTTCCATTGTTTTCAACAAGGCCACAATCTGTGTATTCTTCTGGCACTGCATGAACACTAAAGTATGATCATTAGATAAAATCAGATGAATTTGCTTTGCAATGTGATTTTTTTGGATTGCTTTTTTAGGTTTTCTGGCTAATGAAAGTTAATCTTCTAATTAAAACCCTCACAAAAACTCTGGCATATTTGTTTAAAATATGATTATGTAAATACTTGGTACAACGTATGAAAAATGGGTTCTCTAGTTAGAGTAATTTTCCCAAGATATTTGTATTTTGAAATGATTCAGTATGTTATAATGTCTTTATTATGTAGTATGAGTGTTATAAACCTGTTTTGTGAAAAGATGATACAATTTTTTCTTAAGAAGTAGAAGGAAGTGGAATATTGTACATCTCTTTCGGAACAAATTTTGTTTCTGCTATTGCAGTTACTATGAGCGCAAGTCAATAAACAGCCTTCCTCATGTCCCAGTGATTGTAAATCTTTCAAAGTTGAGTTTAAATGTCTTTACAAACATAAAATGTATGAAAATACAGAGTTAAAAAGGCAGCCATCAGTTTAAAAAGAAATATGTTTCAGATAATTTTGACCATTTTACCACTTAGTAATTTTCAAAGTTATTGCTTGTCTGAGACAGTGAATAATACATGAGCAAACCTGATAATCAACCAAACTGTTTTATATTTTGGAAAGCTTGAGTTGGGCATATCTCTTCATGTTTACAGTAATAACCTTCTGAGCCAACTGAGTCACTTTTCTCTCTTTCATCTTGTCTAGATCCTTTCTTTTATTTATCTTTGGTTTTCAAGGCCAGAAATGTCTACATGTTTTGAAATTAAACATAGATTTGTGTAATCTCATTTTTAGAAGCCTTTTGAGTATTCATCTTGTGTTGGCTGCTTCTTCTCCTTTCATGGTTTAGCTCTTGAAAATGCTATTAGACACAGTTTGTGCAGACTGTGAAATCAAATAGCTCCGTTTAGTCACATGTGTCAGTCGGTAGTACAATTCTGCCCCAAAACAGATACTGGGGTCCAGTGTTCACAGTCACTCAGTTTTATGTAGCCATAAAATGTTAAGTATTTTTTAAAGTGTCTATAAAAAGTGCTTTTTAAACCATTAGCAGCTGCAATGACAGCTGGATTTCAGGTTTATTCTTCAGAAAAGGGTACACTAATCCCAGAAGTTAATGGTAGTAGGGGCCTGCTTTCCACAAGAGAAGAGAATTGTAGCTTTTCAAATGTCTTCATGTTTAAATGGAACAAGTTGACTGATGGAAATCTCAGTGCAAATGTTAGTGTTCCCTGAAGTTTGTTTTATTGTAATTTTCTTCTATTAATCATGGTTCATGTCTGCTAGCTGTGAAGGATAAGCAATAGGTAATTTTTCACAAGGGATTTTGCTTTTCCTTATTTTGCATATTAATTTATACAAAAGATAAAGCAAAAAGAAGTATTGGCAGTAAAATTTCAGAGAAAAAAGGAGTAATCTGGAAACAAAAATATTTCACTTGCAATTTGGAGTCTATAACTGTAATGAGTCAAAGATTCATAAAATCTTAGAATACCAGATTTGAAGGGACTTCAAGGATCATCTGGCTCAACCTTTCTTGGCAAAAGCACAGTCTAGACATGATGGCTCAGCACCCTGTGCAGCTGAATCTTAAAACTGTGCAGTGTTGGGGAATCCATCACTTCACTGGTGAGACTATTCCAATGGCTGGTTGTTCTCATTGTGAAAAATTTTCCTCGTGTCCAATTGGAATCTCTCCAGCATCAACTTGTAACCATTACCACTTGTCTTTTCCATATGAGTCCTTGTGATAGGGGAATTTTCATCTTTGTATCCATCCATACATCCTTTAAATGTAGGAACACGGTGATAAGGTCTCCCCTAAACCTTTCTCCAAGGCTGAACAAGCCCAGCTCTTGTGGTACTTCCTCATATGGCAGGCTTCCCAGACCTTGGATCATCTCTGTGGCCCTTTTGTGCATCCCCTTCAGCCTGTTTATGGTTTTTGGGGTTTTCTTTGGTGTATCAGGGACCAAAACTGAACACATTTATTTCAAGTGTGACCAGGAAGTAGCACCTTCAGGGGGAAGATAATGCTGGGATACTGAGTAGGATAATGATTTCTGGCTCTCTGCTGGTGATGCCCCTGTTGATGCAGCCCAGTGTCCTTCCTGCTGGCTTTCTTTGCTGCAGCAGCACTGCTCACTCCCACTGAGCTGCTTGTCCACCAGGATCCTCAGTCCCTTTCACAGAGCTGCCCCCTAGGGAGATCCCAGCCTGTGCTGTGCTCCTGCATTATGTTTTACCGGGTTCAAGGCCTTTACGGTTATTTTTAGCCCACTCTTCCAGCCTATTCTGGCCTTCCTGCAGCGTGACTCTCCCTTCTGAAATGTCTACTTCCCTCATCAGTTTGGTATCAGAAAATTTCATCAGGCTACACTTGATCCCATCACCCAGATAATTTATGAAAATATTAAAGAGTAATGTGCTCAATATTTATCCTTGGTGGCCTCCACTTTAAATACAGGAAGATGTAGAATGTAGATACAGATGTAGCTATAGATACAGTTGTATACACACACGTACACCTATGAAAGGGAAAATCACTATTTTTTAAAAGGGTTAAAAAATGATGCCTATGCATCTTTTAAAATTACACTT